GATAATTATGCTTAATCAAAGAAAATAAACATATAAATAATCAAAATGTAATGTCTCAAAGTCCTTCAAGATGTGTTTATGAAGTTTTTGCGTCTGAGACTGGCATGGTAGTGGTTTCCTCTAGCGGAGCCTCACGGGAAGGAGTCGTCTTGCTTGCCCCAGCTACGTCTGTCATTAATTCATTATCGGTCTTCAAATTTTCACTCAGAATAACTCTCCCAGATTCTCTGTTGATCGGGGTCGCATCATCTTGAGGATTGCTGAAATGAAAAGGACTAAGCATCTGAAGAACTACCGGCTTCGACTGATTCACCGTATGCGTCACTGGCTGAGATATGTTGAAAACAAGCTTTACAGAGCTTGATCCTGGCCCATGGAGAGCTCTGAGAGGAGTCTTGATTTTCGGCTGAGGATCATCAAAAGACAGGACCTTCTTTTCTAGCAAATCTCTGACAATGTTCTTAAGCGCGTAACACCCTTCCAAATCGTGACCAGGCGCACCCTCATGAAATAAACAATGAGCGGCAGCGTTGTAATTGACAGGTACCGGATTGGGAGGTGGACCCAAAGTTCGGGTAACAACCAGACCTCGTTGCACTAAGAAAGGATACAACTCAATGAACATCATTGGGATCGGAGGACAAGGCTTGTATGGTCTCCTATTTTGACGAGGTATCGTCTCCTCTGATGGTTGGCGCACGGGAGCGTTGGGCACTCGTTGACAGTTGACAGGAGCTTGTGCAGGCTGATAAATAGGAGGTTGTTGATAAACTGGAGCCGGTGGCCCGAGCTGATATGTAGGAAATTGCTGACTGAAAGGAGGTGCAACAGTAGCTACATAGGGTTGTGGAGCATACTGAACTGGATAACTTTGAACATAATTCTGTTGAGGTTGCCAAGGTTGATGAGTAGCCATCGAGCGATTCCTCGAACGTGTAGGTCCTTTATGGTGGTCAACGGTCAGAGTTTTGCACTTTGGAGGAGTAACTCTTCGAACTGGTTGAGCAACAGTAGGATTCACTGAACTGGATTGACGATTCTGAGGAGGTATGTTCTCGACAGTAACAGCTAGTTGAGGATCCACAACAGTATCGGTAATTTCAGAAACAATGGTAGGTTGATTATCTATCTTCACCTTAAGGGCTTGCAACATCTCCATAATCTGCCCCACACTTCCTCGAAGATCTTCGAGTTCATGGCTGACACGGTCGATCGCTTGAGCTTGTTCTTCCATCCTTTTTCGAGCTTTGGCTCTAGTGTTGTACTGATGCGGAGGACCCAGGGTGACGAAACTGGAAGGTGAGAGAACCGAGTATGAGAAACCGGGAGACACATGGAATGCAAAAATATGATGCTAAAATGCAAAATGATTTCATGGAATTCACAAATTTACGAATATTGCAGAATAACAAAGAAATTTTATTTATTAATTGAAAATGGATTACAAATAATATTCCTAGAAAAATCTTGGCATAACATAAAAGCTAATAATGACCCTAAGGAAGCTTCTTGTTCTGCCCCTTGATCTGCTCTTCTAGCTGGGCCTTTTTTAGGATGAGCCTATCTTCAAAAGGTATATTGAGAGTTAGAGAAACATAAATCCTTCATCAAAACCAAACAAGGGTACGTTGGAAAAGTCTTCACAATTGTTGGTGATTAGTGTCCTTGATGTCGGATGACTTCGAGCATATGGCTTTAGCCACGGTCTTATCCTTTAGGGTCTTTCTCCAAGAAAGGGAACAAAGATTCCTTTAGAATAGGTAACCCCACCAATTGAGAGTACTCTTCTAGGGTAGGCAAGAGCTGGTACTCGAGGGATGTAAGGAAAAGATAATCTGGATCCTAGAACTGTAACAAAGTCGAAAGGAAACCTTGGTCTACTTGAGGTTTCAACAAAAATAACGGCCTTCCATACTTGTTTATGGATCCTTTATTGATCTTGAACCAAAGATCCTAACTTCCTTAGGTCATCTAGCTTAAGTCCTTTAAAAGAATATCTCAAAGTTTTTTTTTTTTGTAATCCATGGTATCCGACAGTATTCATAAATAAAATTTGAATTCCATGACATGTGATGTCTTATGGATGCAATGCATATATACAAAGTCCTAGGTTAAAGGTATATGCAAGGAGTTAGGGTCTACCCATCCCAATAAGGTATGTACTAAGGTTAGTTGTACCTGCAAAACAAGGTTCTAAGAAGTGCCCAAAGTCATTAGTCCATCCTTCGGATATTATCAACTTTCCAACTAACTCGGGGGTCGATAATATTCTCAAGAGAACCTCTTTTGAGTGTAGCATTGCGTAGCAACCATTGTAGGACTACTCCCACATAGTTCCCGCACTACGTCCTATATAAGGCCAAAGTGGTGTTAAGGTAACTACGGTCCTCAATATCACAGACTCCAATCGAAAATAGTAAAATTTTTCACGATTACACTCGATCAACCGAACCATTTTCGAAAGGGTCTCAACTTAGCGGTGATTCTCGAGTCAACTTGGTCGGGACTCACTCCCGGCAAGCCTCGTCGAATATCTCACCTTCCTATAATAAGGTCGCTCAAGTCCGGGTTAGGACTTATCTCACAATAGCAAGGTACCCCCCAAGCAAAGCACAATAATAATATATACAAGAGAATAAATAATAAAAAATATCATACAATAAACAAAATAGGGATAACCCTTAAAAGTTATGGCGGTCCCCAGTGAAGTCGCCATTTTCTGTTGCGGTGGAAATAGGATATCAAACTATTAATTAGTTTGAATCACAATTTTTGATTCACAACCGCTCTTTGATTTATCCGAAGGAAAAGGTCAAAAGAGGGAAAACCTATTTTTGCATCGTAAACACAATGCGGGGAGGGACCTAGGTAAGGGGTTGGTTAAGCTTAGGGAAGGTACTAGCACCCTAAACTTCTGTAGTACTCTACAGGAACCTTTTGTTTATTGTATGCTTTTTTATTTTTATTCATTATATGCTTTAATATATATATTGAGCTAAGGGATAGAGTGACCTAAAGACCTAAGGGTTAGTCCTAAGTTTACTCGGCAAGACATCGCATCTTGTGCCTACATATCCTGACGGGAATGGAATCAGAGTAATTGTAGTTTCCCTCGAAAGGGAGGTTAGAAACTTCTTGACTGTGGTCAAGGTTTCAATGGGAGTAAGCGTATCTTAAGGACACGCTTATGTGGAGTCTTAAAACTCCTATTTCTACGTTGAATTTGTTGAATTGAAATTAGGGTTAAATTAGGGATTCCACGGCGGGAAACCCTAAACAGAGTACGACGATCACTCGCGTAAATTACAAATCCCAAAAAAAGAAAGATAAAATAAAACCGCGACCATGGCCTCGCGTAAATTACATCCATGGAACAAAATAAATTGAACAAATAATTTAAATATAATTTGAGGAGAGAAACAGAGAACATTAGTGCAAAGGGTTAGACAGGAATTCATGGCAAATAATAAAATAGTGAAAAAGAAAAATTAAGAATTTGGACGTTTATTTAACATTATTATTATTATATTTTTAAAAAAATTTAATTTAGATCTAGCTTTAATTTTGAAAATGTTTTTTAGTTTTAATTTTTAAAAAAAAAATTTAGTTTTTTAATTTAAACTTTAAAGAAACATTTTAGTTTTTATTTAAGAAATGTTTTAATCTTATTTTAAAAAAACTGTTTTGGTTTAACTTTTTAAAAAAAACTGTTTTAAATTTTAAAAGAGTGTTTTTAGTTTAATTAGAGAAACAAATGTTTTTTTTTTTATTGAAAAGTAATTGTTTTTATTAAAAAGAAATTTTTATTTTTATTGAATAATATGGAAAAAAGTGAAAAAATAATATTTTTAAAAAAATAATTTAAATGAAATATGAAAATAATAATTAAATAATAAAAAAAACTATTTTTGTTATTTTTTTTCGAACTCTCAACCTCTCACACTCACAACTCCTTACACAGGGTCTCTTGCCACTTGTGCTATTTTATTCATTCAAAATAAAGTGGCACTAGAAACCCTGTAAACTAAAAGAGCGCGCCACATAATATTTTCTTGCAACAATCAAACAACTGCACCACCCGTTAGTGGTTAGTTTAAATGCAATGCACAATGAAATGGGATGCAAGATGAAACGACTAATCTTAGGGAAAAATTTGGGGTATTACACCGCTATTGTAAAACAAAATTTTTAATAGCGCTTTAAAAGCGCTATTATATTACTGTTAATTAATAGCGCTTTTCCAAAAGCGCTATTATAGTACCTGTATTTAATAGCGTTTTTCCAAAACCGCTATTATAAGACACATATTTGATAGCGCTTTCAAACAAAGCGCTATTATAGTACCAGTAATTTGCTTTAATTTTGATAGTACTTTCAAACAAAGCTCTATTATAAAACACATATTTAATAGCGCTTTCAAATAAAACGCTATTATAAGACACATATTTAATAGCACTTTCAAACAAAGCACTATTATAATCCACATTTTCGATAGCACTTTCAAACAAAGCGCTATTAAAATACCGGTAAATTGCTTCAATTTTGATAGCACTTTCTAACAAAGCGCTATTATAATACACTATCTTTAATAGCACTTTCCAGAAAAGCGCTATTAATGCCCTTTATTTATTCTTTTAAAAAAATGAACAAATAATAGCGCTATTAAGCACTATTATAATCCACATTTTCGATAGCACTTTCAAACAAAGCGCTATTAAAATACCGGTAAATTGCTTCAATTTTGATAGCACTTTCTAACAAAGCGCTATTATAATACACTATCTTTAATAGCACTTTCCAGAAAAGCGCTATTAATGCCCTTTATTTATTCTTTTAAAAAAATGAAATTTTATAACTCAAATCCCTCAAATCCAACATATGCCTCAAATCCCTGAATCAAGATAGGATCACAAATACAGATGATGAATGCCCAAGCTTTTCCATGAAGTAAAACTTAATAACACACAATGCTAGAACAATAAATTTGAAAAAGTATTTGATTAATGGTAAAACCAACCGAGATGATCTTGAATGTATACAATTCCTGTAATAGCTATTATGACACCAATAATTGTGAAAGCATAATACCAACTGAAGAATGTTTCCAAGACTCTATAGCTATTTGGATTATCTTTCCTATTCAGTTGGTCAGCACCAAACGCCATGGAACATGAAAGACCACCATTTCCAATTGACATTAGACCAAATGCAGAGAGTAGCATTGCCATTTGACCTTTCGTTGCTGATTTACAGCCTTTTGTTGGATGTACACAAGCTGGAGGCCTTTCCTGTGGGACCATGGTTGTTAACCACAGCAATGTCATCCCTTAGACAACAAAAACAAAGCATCAAATAAACCACGGAAATCTTAACTCATCCAAGTAGTAATACAGAGCTAGAGTTGTTACTATGTGATTGCAATTTCGACGTTTATACATACCAGGAAAGTGACAACAGAACCTAATCCAACACCCAAGAATCGACCCAAAGAAGAATCTACAAGAAAGGCGCCAATAACAGGCGTGAAATTTTTGGCTGCAGAAGATAAGAGAAGAATCTGAGTAGCATTTCCAAGATGAAGTTTGTAACTTCCCATCAAATAAACAATCATGTTTGGCGATAGTCCCATGCTGGCCATACTTGAAAACGCCTCATTTGCTTCAACAAACAACAATACCATACTGTATATACCAAAAAAATTCAAACTCATTCAAAAAGTAATAAATAGAAATGATACCGATGATGAAAGGCATGGTGATACGGCCACCCTTGCGTCTTTTTGATTGTTGTGAGATTTCATCAGCAGCATCATCAACAAAACAGAGTTCAACTTCCGATGATGAAAGTAACTATAATTATTGTGCCAAGGCTCCCTACAGGTAAAGGGCTAAGCATTAAATTTTAATATAACATACCATAGAGCAAGCTGATATGCCTCCACAACATTGTCTTGCATGAAATGGAACAACAAGAACTCCAAAAGAACTGCACGTCTACTCTGCTTTCCAAGTAAAAATACACAATAAATTTGAATGCTTAACAATCAACCTAGCAGAATCAACTCGTAACAATTCTTCAATTGCAAGTATAATTATTTATCAACTAGAACTGAAGTAATTGTCAAAACAAAACGAGAACTGAAGTTAGCAGAGAATATGGTGAGATTATTTCACATTGAATGTTGTGCAACAGCAGGCTGCAACATTAATGTGAAGGGGAACAAACAAACATATAACCATTAATCACAAACCTGATTACTCTCACTTGGCTTGCACGTCTAATAAGTTAGTAAGAAAATTTTACAAAAGTACTAGGAATTACATTTAAAACTTGGAGCATGCTTGAAAATTAGTTTAATCTTTGAAAGCTAGGAAAGTTGCTAGCGAACTGAGTCAGAAAGAATTTTCAGCATCTAAAGTTCAGCTCGTCTTAATAGATGGTAATTATAGTTGAGCATTAATAGATGGTAGTTATAGCTGAGCATCTAAAGTTCTCTCAGGATATAAAGATTAAGTGCATTGGTGTCGGAAATAAAAGATCTCGGTAATAACGAGCAAGCATGGTTCAATCTTACACCATTAGAGTACATTATAAGTTGAATTTGCAGCTTAACCAGAACCTTCAGTAGTACCTGTGCTCACCAGAGATGTATGAAGCTTAGTGATGTCGAGACATATTTACGGCTAAGGACAGTTTGTTACCATTGACGATGAATTCAATAAATATCAAGCCACCAGATCTAGGACTATCAAACACCTGCAGAATGATGGAGCATATCAGGGAATTGAGAATTTGTTTGTAAATGAAAGCTATGTGCGATGACAACGATGTACATTAATTGGCCAAGAAATAAACATACAAGAATATGTGTTTCCAATTAAATTACATTATTTTTTAGAACACAATAGAGTGTTGCTTATTCTAGCAAGCGTTTATACTTGCACCAAGCAATGGCAACCACATACAAGAATATGGTTCCAGCAGTACCACCACCAACAGTCCACATAAACTCTCTTGTCCCGTACTTGTCACTATCAAACAGTTCAATATGAATATTCATGCCAAAAACACCAGCCACAACAACAAAGGCACTCACTACCAGAGTTGCCATGGTCAACATGACTCCCATTTGGAGGAGATGGTTTTGTTTGTCATCCAGCATAATATTGATGTAATCCTCTGTGTCATCGACATACTCCGTCAGCTTCAACACAACAACCGACAAATAACAAGGTGTCAGCAACAGAAAAGTCAATTCTATATCTAAAGTAAACTATATTCTTTCAAACAAACATATATGATAACCATATAAGATAGAAAATCAGTAGCATTTATATAAACTAGGTATCTTAAATCCCATAATATTAATTTATTCCTGTGTGGAATATTTAGGACCTCTGCCAACAATGTGTCATGCTCAAGGTCAAGTGTTTAGGGTAAAATCTGAATGAATGACTTAGGTTTAGCTCCTCGGTTCTTTCTCCTTATAGGCCCCCCTTCTGTTCCCCTAACTATACAACTGTATTTTAGCAGAATTTTTAGGTTGTTCAGCTAAGGTAGGGTAAGGAGTATTTGGCCCCAATAGCCTTTTGGGTGCTATAAGACATGTGTCAAGTCGTATCAGTCTGAATGTAGGATACTAGGGCGAGTACATTTGAGGAGATTATAACATGGCTATGAGGCTTCATAAGTATCCCCCGAGTCATAGCAACTATTTTATAACTGTCTAATACTAATGTTTTGCAAGCAAAAATAGATGAATTACAATCAATCCAAGCCCTCAAATACAAACCAGAAAGTCATGTCATTCCAATCATTATTCGAGATGGAAATGGTGCTTTGCTTCTCAAATATTGTGTGCTTACGACATATTCATTAAGCTACTCTACCCAACTAGATCAAAAGGCACAAAAATGTAACTACTTCATTTGCATTTGTGTTTTAACTTGTTGAATTGAACTATTGAATTTGTATATGTTATTTTGTTAACAAAACAAAGAGATAAAGCTAAGTATAGAACAAGGAACTGGAACATAGCAAGGATACCGTGGAAAGCTTGTTGAGAGTTCCATCAATTTGAACAAAGTATGCTTCCAAAAGCATCTCAAGCTCCTCAACATCAAGCTTATTGGTGAAGACACTATTAAAAGATTGTTTTCTCTGAGGCATTTAATCGAACATCTAACATACATATCAATTATAAGAGAAAAAAAGATGGTTACCGACATGTGAGTTTCTGCAACTAATTATGTATAACATCTACATGATTGAACTATGACGCAAGAAGAAATTAGAACGACAGAGTTGGCCCAAAAAATTACAACACCACAAGAGTTTGTGATCGAGGATTACCAGAGTTTCTGCCATAGAATGACATGACTGAACTATGAACAAGTTTTATACGACCATCAGCGCTACTAAAGGCCTCTTGAAACTGCAATATGGAGGAGTGATTGACAATAAACAAAATCATAAGGAAAATGTCAAAATAAAATTCAGCATGATGCAATTCTCCAATGTATACCTGTGAAATGATCGAATTCAATAAAGATGTTTCCTTTAACATCAATTCTTTTATTTCAACTATAACTGCAATAGTGCAATTTGAAAGAATTATGCAGTTGTATTTATCTGCATTTTAGGTAACTGAACCACAATTTAAAACCGTCGTGCATCCAAAAATGATAATAGAAAAAAATAGAAAGCAAGTCCATTTATTAAAACTATCTTACCTTTTTCATCCGATCGACTCTTTCAAGCGATTCACTAAAAGATTGATGAAGCTCATCAGTAAGGCTCTTGCTATCATAGTCACTTGCTACTTTCCTCTCTAATTCACTAATATCGGCCTGAAGTTCTGAATGCTTAGCTTCGCGGTTGAACAGAAAGCTAGTTTCCTTTCTTTCGAGATCCTAAACTAAAAGTTGATAGTATAAGCAACACATAACATTCAGCTTTAGTCAAACATCAACTACAAAAATTAGTTAAATCACTTCATTTTCAATTGGCTCGAAAAATTGAATTTTAAAATTAATGAAAACAATAATAATAATGATTCACTTTCATAGACATGATCAAAGGATACAACTTCTGAACTGCAGAATCAACACCTTTCTTATTGTTTCTCGCTCTTAACTCTTCTAACTGCTCCACAACATTCGTTTTCCGGTGATTCTGTAGAACAACCAAATAAATAAATAAAAAGCTAAACACCAAAGTCAAATAAATCAAGTAGAAATGATAATTGCAAAACATCTCATGCATCTCACAGACCAGTTCATCCAACTTGTTTATCAAGCTAGTTTTAAGCACGTCCTCTTCTTCAACAGTTTCTTCATCACGACATACCTACAGTTCCATGGCATACCAAAAATCAGCACTTCACAAAACATGCATTTTAGGAAACTACTCACAGAAATGAAAATCAAAACTGAAAATGCGAGAGTTCAATTCAACACCTCACTAACGCATTGTTCTTGCGTTGATTTTAGACGTGAACTAATCCATTGAATAACCGGAAAAAGAGCATCAGCATCACAATTTTGAATATGAGTTTGTTGAAGAGGGTGCGAACATTCTATTAACTTTAGAGATTCTTCTATGTACTGTGTATTGTTTTCATCGTGTCTACAAGATGAATAAAGAAAACGAAAGGTGAAGAATAGAAACCCTAATCGATTGATTGATTGAGAGGAAAGCGGTAACATACATTATGTTGGAATTGGGGTTGAGGGCGGCGATGATCCAAGACAGGCCAGCGGCGATTTTCTGCGACGGCGGTGCATCGGAACCTGTTGCATCGACGTAGCCGAGTGTGGAAAGGAGATCTAAAATTTTGTCGACGCTTGAGATTTTGTTTAGCGACTCCATTTCCTTTGCCGTTCTAACCTCGGTTTGTTCTTCGAAGCTAAATTACAACAATTCAGCTTTTTAATCTTTCTATTTCATATTTTTAAGGTTTTGTTTAGCTTATGACAATGATGATTATGATTATTTTTTTCGGTATTTTAATTAATTTAAGTAATGCTAGCAGTTTAATATTTAAGTGAAATATTTTAGTGGAATATTTTAATAGCGCTTTTTATAAAAGCGCTATCTTAATACCTCATGATAGAAATGATAGCGGTTTCTTAGGAAACGCTATTTTAGTTAAATATTTTAATAGCGATTTTTGAAAAGCGCTATCGTAGTGCTTATAGTAATAGCGCTTTTATAAAAGTGCTATTGTAATGCAACATTTTAATAGCACTTTTTAAAAAAGCGCTATCTTAGTGAAGATCTATAATAGCGCTTTTTTACAAAGTGCTATCAAAATCATATTCTCTGTACTCTTTAATATCGCTTTACTATAAAACGCTATTATAGATGTGTTTGTTTCCTTTGCAATAGCGCTTTTTTTAAAAGCGCTATTAAATTAGGCGATACAAAATAGCAATTTTGGCGTAGTGTAATAATGCCAAGTTGCAACCTACCATCTCTCTCCAAATCTTACATTTTCTGCATTTCCTTTCTTCTACACATCTGAATATTGTATTGAATCATGATCCAAGGGATGAGGAGATCTCAAGTTGTGAAAAACTGATTTTTGGGAAGTGTTGGAGTGTGGTTTCAAGTGTTGACAGGCCCAACTTCTATGGTGCATAACTTCCTGCTCAAACATGCTATTGAGGAGTTCTACCATAATTTGGAAAGCCCTTAAGTAGCTCTACAACTTTTATGTTTTGGTAATTTCCAAATTCTTTATGGAATTAGGTTGAAAAACCCTTCAAAGTTTCTGAAAAAACCACTTACAAGTGCTAAATAACTTAGAAATTTTCTAAATAACTTAGAAATTTTCTAAGTTATTTCCCCTTCAAAAATGAATTTTTCTATAACTCCAATTCTATGAATTTTTTGATCATGGAACACTTTGAGGATTTTGTAGGATTTGTCAAGATCTTTCCAATGAGCTTTGAACAACTTCAATTGGATGTGTGATTGAGGAGTTATGGTCTTGCCCCTTTCGAAACCCTAATTCCCGATTTTTGCAATTACTTCTTAACCCTTGATCCAATGTTCATGAAATTTTATGGGGAGGTGTAATATGACATAAGGAACATTTTTTATTCACATCTTGAAATCAAATTCCTTATTGTTGAAAAGTTGACTTTTCGGTCAACCGTTCGATCGATCGGTGTCTACCGAGTCGCCCGTTGGTGATCCGGACATCCTGAGGACTTGAAACTCTTTGAATGGACTTTACTAATCCATATGAACTTAATGGATCAAAATACCACCATTGAAATACTCTTTAAAACAAAAGTCAAACTACAGTTGACTTTTCCTAATCGGAAACCCTAATCGGGTATCTCGAATTGCACTGTTCTCAATTCCCGGGTGACCACCTCAAATGGAATTCATATTTGATCCAATGTATTATCCTTGATCTTGTTTAAAGTTTGGTCAATCCAAAACATTGATTGATCAAACCACTGAAGCCTCGATTTTGACGGTACGGAACCCTAATTCATCTGCATCTTAACAAAGATAAACTGAAAATGGGTTAAGGTTAGTTAATCAAGCAAATATGATCCTACAATGATGATGAGGATCTAAGGGGTCAAAATTTGGGGTGTAACAGATGCCCCTATTTAAATATCTTCACTAGATGGTGATGAGAGATGACAATCCTCATAGAATCACAGTGAAAGGTATTTAAATATAGCAAACCAGAAATTTTGTCCCTTAGATCCGATTATATGCAAAAGGACGAATGCCAATATGCCATGAATCTAAATGATGTTATATGATGCTTGAATGCAAAAAGGATGCAGGCACACGAGCAAATATAAGAGAACGGCGATACGACGAGTAACCACTCACGAGGGACCCGATACACTGGGGAAAGATTTAAAGTAAACAAGATAGTTCAAACATGACTGAAAATGCGGTTCAAGGGAATCTTTCACACAGGGGACAACAAATTCCACCAGGGATGACACATCTTCAATGGGGAAAGGAGATACGAACCTCACTGGGGATAACCAGATGAGAAACCCCACCAGGGAAGATGACGATTCTTCACTAGGGAAACGAAGGAAAAGAAGCGCAAACCACCCTGGGGAAGGGACCCACTGGGGAGAACTTTGCTGGGGAATAGTCCCACTGGGGAAGCAAAATTTCACCGGGGAAAAGACGGAACGAAGACACGAATCTCACTAGGGATAATCAGATGAGAAGTTTCCTATACCGAAGAGTTCAAACGAGATCTTAAGGAAAGAGTTAGAAACAAGGCTAGACGCGCCGGGGAGGCTAGTATCCACTAGTTTTTCGAGACTCGACTGGAAAAGCGAAAGGTTTCAAATGGGGAGACTGGTGATGACTAGAATAACAAATAGCTTCAAACGGTGCTAGTTTCCACTAGACTTATTTGGGATATGGTGACGACCAAATCAATAACGGTTTCCAAGAAGTGCTAAACATTACCAGACTTCCTGGGGATATGGTGACAACCAAATCAAAGTTCCAATTACAATTGGGAATTCTAAACAATATTGTTAAAACAACAGGACTCTGGCTGGGGAAGTTGGTAACAATTAACTTTCGGCACTAATAACGATTAGTTTTCAAACAATGCCAGTAACTACTGGATTTAGAGGGGACTGGTGATAACCAAATCAGGATATACCAATAACAATTGGTTCTGGATGATGCTAGTAACCACTAGACTTAACCGGAAAATTTTGTGACGACCGAATCCAAGGAGACCAATGACCATTGGATTTTCAAGGAGCTTGGTAACGACCAGGCCAATGCGATGATAACAATCTGCTTTAAGCGATGCCGATAATCATTGGACTTTTAAGGAATTTTGGTGACGACCAACCCAAGTATACCAATAACGATTGGTTCTAGATAATGCTAGTAACCACTAGTTTTTTCCAAACAAGGCTAGTGACCACTAGACTTATAGAAATTGGTAATAATCGAATCAAGGGGTACCAATAACAATTGGATCTGAAGGTAATACTAGTAACGACTAGGTTCAGAAAGACTGGTAATAACCGAATCAAATGGGTACCAATAACAATTGGATTTGAAGGTGAGGCCAATAATCATTGGACTTTTAGGGAATTTTGGTGACAACCAACTCCAATGTCAATGACCATTGGTTTTTAGAGGGCAATACTAGTAACCACTAGATTTTTAGCCAGATTGGTGAAAACCGAATCAAAGGGACTCCAATAACAATTGGTTCGCTTTATAACAGAATCAGTAATAACTGGGTTTGGAAAATGTTTGGTGACAACTGAATCACGGTACCGAACGTAATTAGTTCTGAACGTGTGCTAGTGACCACTAGTCTTTCAAAGTTTGTTGGTGACGACTAAATCGAAGATGAAAATTGGTAACAACCCCCTGTTTGTGTGAATTGGATATTGCTAGTCACCACTAGCTTCCCAGAGAAAATAGGAAACCCCAGGATGTCAACTTTGACGCGAACTTGTTACAACAGATCAAAGATAATGGTAACAACCGAAGGATCTCAAAGGCAACAACCAAACAAGCAAAAACCAAAACCAGAAGTGCAAACAAATGCGTATGCTGCCATGATGTTGTATGTAAAATGCAGACCGACCAGCTGAAACAAAGGAAAGCAAAACATAGAGAGAACTCGTCACGCTGAGTCTCAAAACGCCCCAAGTCGGCGACACTTTCTTCTTTGGTGTTGATAACGATCTTTTTTAATAATATCCTCGTAATTATGCAGAGAAGAAGTCTTGGCTTAAGAGCCAGAATTGCTGTCGGGCACATCTAGCTTGGTTGAAGGCACAACAACCTTCCACAACTTTGGGAACTGTGTAACATCATCAGATTACCTCTAGAACTTTTCAATCATTTTGTCAAATCGTGTTTTCTTTTTAAAATAAGACTTAAATTTTTCAAAACACTTTGCTTTCATGAAAATTCTTATTAACATATAAGTGAAATTGCATAACAAAAACAGAGGATCATAACAATGATTTGGCCAAAAATCTGATCTTATTGATAGACAAGAACTTTACAAAGGACAAAGCCTTGGGAACTTTATGAGTTTGAAAAATGGCAAACAGAAAAGGTTACAGAATCCCATAATAATCCGGTCCTTCTGACTGCCAGTTGACTTGCTTCGCTGCTTCTGACGAGAATGACAGGCGTTGATCTTTCTTTTGATATCTTGCACAAGACTCCGCTCCGGTGTCTGCCAGCTTTCAAACGTTGGGCTTTCATCTTGATGAAGCACTGAAATCTCCTTTCTAGGTATTTCGCTTCAGGCGTAGTATTTTCTCACTACGTCTGAGTTGATGGGATACTTGAGTTGTTTGCCATCCATAGTTTCGAGAATTAGAGATCCTCCGGAGAAGACAGTCTTTACAACGAAAGGGCCGTCATAGTTGGGCATCCACTTGCCACGCATATCCTTTTGAGTTGGCAGGATCTTTCTAAGCACAAGCTCTCCTTCCCTATACTCTTTGGGACGAACCTTTTTGTTGAACGCTCAGATCATCCTTTGTTGATAGATTTGACTGTGACACATGGCCGTCATTCTTTTTTCGTCAATGAGGTTCAACGAGTCATATCTTTCTTTTATCCATTCGTCTTCATCAAGCTTTGCTTCCGTCAAGATCTTTAAGGAAGGTATTCTGACCTCGATGGGTAGCACAGCGTCCATCCCATACACCAAGGAAAAGGGAGTTGCCCCTTTCGAAGTGCGCACTGATGTTCGGTATCCGTGCAAGGCAAATGGTAGCATCTCGTGCCAATCTTTGTAAGTTATGACCATCTTTTGTATTATCTTTTTAATGTTTTTGTTTGCAGCTTCAACTGCACCATTCATCTTAGGTCTGTAA